TTCCTTCTAGTGTGCCCACGTCCCCCCACATCTTAGTGTCATCAGCAAATTTGAACAGGGTGCTTATTACCCCCTCGTCCAAATCACTGATGAAGATGTTGAACAGTGCAGGCCTGAGGACTGAGCCCTGCGGAACCCCACTGCCCACGTCCTTCCAGGTTGAGAAGGACCCATCCACTACCACCCTCTGGGTGCGGCCCTCCAGCCAGTTGGTGACCCATTTGACTGTGTAGGTGTCAACACCACAGTCCCACAGTTTCTTAATGAGAACGGGGTGAAAGACAGTGTCGAAAGCCTTCCGGAAGTCCAGGAAGACTATGTCCACTGCTACCCCTGCATCTAATGATCTGGTGATCATTGTGAATATATTTGTCATCATGAATTCTTTCAGTACTCAGAACTCGCCCCTCCCCCAATAAAAAACATGCATATAGTTGGTTTAAAATATAAACCCTTAATTGTATGGATCTATTAATGCTACCTCTATTTTCAAGTTTTAGGATCACACTGAAGCATCAAAGTACAAGATTTTTGAAGAGCCCAACACACAACCCATGTCCAAAATAAACAATCTGTTAAGAACTGGATGGTTTCATTCAATAGTTTTCAGCATGGGGCTATGCAAGGTATTACTACTCTGAAGCTCCCTCTACACGTAACAAGTGTCATGCAATTAACTGATTAATTGCGCAATTAGCTTGAGACCAGCTACATGTGAATAGTAGCCATCACACAATTAAAAGGTCCAACCAGCTATAAAGTTAGACCTTGAAAATGTGTACTAACTTGAATTGGCTGCTGTAATCCCCAAGGCTTGGAGTTGCATGAAAACCCTGGATCTATATGGGGCTCTTCATCCTGGCTGTGCCTCAAGTGCAGTCAGGACCAAGAGTCCTGCACCTAACAGGGCTTTGGATCCCAGCTCCACCTCATGCTCAGCCAGGATGCAGAGCCCCATCAGCTATGGAGTTTCTGGGTCCCAACTGCACAAGGTCGAGTTGGGACAAGAGCCCCATCAGCTAAAGGGTCTCTGGGTCCCAGCTGCAAGAGGCAAGAGCATGGAGTGGCGGGAGGGGTGGCGAGTGGCGAGAGCATGGAACGTGGAGTGGGGTTAGGGGCGGGTGGTAAGCAGAGCCTATGGCCCTGTCCACAGGGCCTATACAGCACTGTCTGCAGGACTCCCCAAAGCACAGAACCCAAGGCAGTCGGCTCAATTCCCACCCCCCCAGGGATGGCTCTGGCTGGGAGCTTTAGCAATGGGGGCTTTAGCCATGGGTAGCTGCTTCTTGCCAATCCAGGGGGAGCCCAGGATTGGGCTTCTCCTAGACCAACAATAAAGTGCAGTTGGATCTAATGCACAGTCCCACAATCACGCCTCCTGCCACACAAGTTTGGCATGGCAGGGGCCACAGCTGTGTGGACCACGGATTAGATCCAATCATGCCTTTACCTGTACGTGTAGAGGGGGCCTGATAGGTATACGCATTACTACTCTGGGGCAACAAGCAGCAGGCATTCTTATAATTTAGAATGCAGACCTAAAACATAGTCTCCTGAAGAAAACTTAAAACTCCATATTCTTGTGTGCTGGAGAAATTAACCTTTAAAAAAATGCTTTTGAGTCCACTTGAATGTTCAGTGATGTAGGAGAATGCAAGGTATAAATGCAAAGTCAGCAGTTTCATTTATAGTACTAGTGAAGCTGCAACTACTTACCCCAGAGTCATGTTGGTCTTAAGATATTAGTCTATATTATGTTTTTATGGCCTAATGTTTCTCACTATTGCTAAAATTTTGCTGTTCAACAAGTAGCAGGAATCATTGAAGCCTCAAAGTTTTCATGGCCTCAGGCACTATGGGAGCAGTATCCTCTAATCCTTTTCACAGCAGGAATAAAGGAGAAGTTACTAAACATCCAGTAGTCTCATGAACTATCCTGTACTAAGGTTAACACTATTGCTGATATGAAGCATCATCAGTGAAATATTTTTAGTTTTAAAAAAAATCTCATTGTCTAGAATAGAGAAATGTACAAAGCCTTATCAGAGAGGGAAAATTTTTCTCACCGGTTTATTTGTTATCTTCATAGGCGCAGTAGAAATCAATTTCTATTTCTGTATATGTCATGGAAGGACTAGAAAAATCCATCATATTTTTCAGTTTTCTATCCCAGTCAGACTGATTTTTTGAAGTGGCTTAGAAATTTCACACAGATCTACTGATGACTTTTTTAAATAACTGTCAGCCTTACGATTTTGAAGCCTCAAATGTTTTGCTTTCCTTATACATAAATATGTGCATGTGTAAGTTATAAGCATGTATGAAAGAGTAAGACTGAAGTCTAGGTTTTTCATATAGTTCCAAGTGTTCAACCATCTCCAGATTTTTTAAAGGGGAAAAAATTGTTCTATTAAAGCCAGATTATACAATATCTTTACTTACCTTGTAAGTAGTATGACTGACTTCAGGACTTCTTGTGGAATCAACAATTATTCAATAAATAAATTATTCAATTAAAGTTGTGTACCAGAATCTAGTCCACAATCCTAATCCAGACAATTTTGCTTAGAGCTAAGCAAAATCTAGTGGACAGCTCCTTAAATGCTATCATTTATAGTATATAAAGTTTGACTTCTGAAATATTTTCAGATGGAACTATAATCTATAGGACCTACCTGAAGACTGAACACAGTGAGGAAAACATTGAATTCTGGCTCGCATGTGAGACTTACAAGAAGACTGCATCACAGAAGAAAAGAAATTCTATGGCCAAGAAACTTTTTAAAGATTATATTCAACCCCACGCTCCTAAAGAGGTGAATTAACATTTAAAGACTCACATACATACACACACAAGGAAAACTACTTGGAAAATATGCATATCTGCCAAATCTGAAGGCAGCTTGCAAAATGTAACAACCCATCCTCGGCACTGGCACTCCCTATACAAAGCAATATGCAAACCTTGATTTCTGAATTGCTGAAGTACTGAAACAAGTCATTATCCCCATTTTACAGACCAAGTAACTGGGGTATACAGACAACTCATTTAACCAAATACCACCGAAGGAATAAATGTCAGAAATTAACTGAACCAAGTTTCTGGTTCTCTACTCTCTTTTTTTTTTCAGACCCAATACAATGCCCATAATGTGAGTCTTTCCATTCACTTTACTGGACTTTAGATAAGGTCCTTACTGCACCTACTCATTAGTCTTTGCTTATGCACCTGAAAATGAGGTAAAATCTGTTTATTTACATTTGTCTGGAAAACTGACCAGTGCTAGCTAAAAGCCAATCAAGTCCCCAAAGGTACTGAAAGAGTTTGAAGAAGAATCCATTCCAAATGATTTACCTATATCTATTATGATTTACTATTTACCTATATTTATAATGATTTACCAATAGCTATAACTATTAATGATTTCCTGCAAACACATTTGAGCAAACCTGTGTAGGTTTTTTTTCTGACAAATGGCAACAAATGGCTATTATAATAGCACTTTCCTCCTCGACAGGTCATTTTTAGTATCTTTACAAGTATGCCTGTTTAGTTTATTGTCAATAATAAATAGCAATAATGCACCTTCTATCCCAGCTGGCACTGGAGGGGTAATACCACTCTGAAAAATTAAAACTAAATTATTTTCTGCCTAATTCATCATGTTATCTAGGTTCCAAACAACCTATATTGCCAAGGGTGTTAGCCAAAAAGGACACTGCTTGATCCCTGATGTCTGACTGAGGTTAAAGGGACTGACTCAGTTTAAAGCTTCTAGATTAAAAGACATAATAGGATGGCTAGATAAAAAGTAAATTGGATTGGATTTAAAAATGTGATTTTTTTAATCCCATTTTGCTTGTGTATATACAGGAAATGCAATATACACAAGTAATTAACTCCATTTTACTTTTCCCAAATGGAAGGGAAGATAGAATTAACAGTCATAATCATAAGTCAAGCTGTAAGAGATGAGGCTTTTTTTTAATCTCATAATTTTATACAATAAAATAATAGATGTTTGATTCTTTCTATTTTCTTTATGATTTCTGATCTAGTAAGACACTTATTTTACATTTTCATGCATTTCTTTGCAAATATAATGGCTACTGGTTTGGGTTTAATTTTCTACACAAGACTTGATAATGATCTCAACATAGCTCTCGCTCTAGAAAAACTCAGAGGTATTCAGGAAACTGTAGATTGCAGTTAAAACACTACAATCCCTGCAGGATCTTAACACAGTAAATAAAACAGTCATTATCCACGTCTGCAGGTCCCCTTTCATTCTCTGAAAGGGCAAACCTGTCTTAGAAAATAGCAAAGCAATGCCACTCTATCTGATTTAATTATTTTGTTTGAGGTCAGAAGTCTAATTGTTACCAGCATTTCCTAATCTGATACATCCACAAAACCTTCCACTGCAAATCTTGGATTACAACAGGTGTCTGCACAGATTGTCTAGTTAGGGATAATGTATTAGTCTGTCAGATCATATCTATAACAACTTCATACTATAACAACTTCAGTAGCCTATGATTCCAAAGTATAGCTTAAGTGTAGTTGATCAGGACTTTGGACTATCAAGCTACCTATTTAGGTACCTAAATAACATTTTAGGATATTTATATGTGTACCTAATTTACCTTTTCAGTATGCCCGCTTCTGGACAAGTCAGCCTATCAGTCACACTTCTGGAGGACTCCTGTGGTTTTTTGTCGTAACTGGGCCCTCCAGCTTGGACATTTGTGTTGTCACCCATCCTGGAATAAGTAACAGGGTCACCTAATCCACAGCCACAATTTAATGCTGGCATAGAGACACTTCAGATTTACTAGACAAAACCTTCAATCCTGGTCTCTGCAGGTAGCCCCCAGAAGCAGCCTCTATTTCTCTCTTACCAAGAGCAGTAAGGCTCTGGTCAGCTCAACTCAGACCTGGTTGGCCTTTCTACAGAGGACTTCTGACAGGCTGCAGTTTGCAGAGAGCACTTAGTTTCCAGACTTCCTGCTTCACATAAGAGCAAACTATCGATCCTCCTTCCCAGTCACCCCTTAGCAGCTGCTCTTTATCGCACTTTAGTCCAACACCAAACACGTGTAGCAGATGAGTAATCGAACAAGGCTGGCTAGCTCCAGGTCTTGTAACCCTTAAAGGATCAGGGTAGCTGTCAAAACTGATAATAAAGAATTAAAGACTCAGAGGGGGAAAGTTATTGTTTATTTTTTATGATAGTCTTACTGCCATCGCACCAACATGATATATGGTGTCAAAGCTGATTGAATTGGTGTACATCTACTCATCTTCATTTCTGTAGTGCTTTCTCTCTGTTTTCCATATGCGTATTGCAACCTTATGTATCATTGTTTTATTTTTCAGATTAATATTGACAGTCCTGCAAGGGAAGCCATTACCAGGAATATTCAAAAACCAACTCAGTCCTGTTTTGATGAAGCTCAGAAAATTGTTTACATGCATATGGAAAGGGACTCATATCCCAGATTTCTTGGATCAGATATCTATCAGAAACTTAGGCTTCAGACTGACAGCAATGATTCACTGATACATTAAAGAGAAGACTGAGGACTTGGAAAAGATTTTCTTCTAGTTAATGTTTCTATATGCTAAAGTAAACAAAACAGAAGAAGTGGTATTCTGGATGTATTTGCATGACAAGTAAAGATAGTATAGTCTTACATTGATATTGTACCTGATCGGGAATGCATCCCCATCCTCCTCCTGCACCTCATAAAATTTCAAATTAATTTCTGAATTTCAATTTGGATCAAACACTGAAAAACATGAGACCAATCAACCAACTCTTCCCCATCCAAATATCAGTCATAATGCAAGAATTATGATTTAGAAATACCACCATGCCTTATGGGTACTTAATGTTATCACTCCTGTAGACAGCCAGGATTCCTGGTTAAGTAGATATCCCACAAAGCACTATGGTCTCAGCAAAAGGAGAAAAGCTACAGTACCTCATGGGAAGTTAATTGTTGTATTGCATCATGGACAAGTTTGCTCATCTGGAGAGCCTGAACCAGAGAGAGAAGCCATGAAACACCCATATGACAAGTCCCCACATGACAAGTCATAGATTCATAGATGCTAGGGTTGGAAGGGACCTCAACAGATCATCGAGTCCAACTCCCTGCCTAGGCAGGAAAGAGTGCTGGGGTTAGATGATCCCCGCCAGATGCCTATCCAGCCTTAAGATGCCTATCCAGCTAACAGTCCCCTCTGTTTGTTCATTATTTGACAAAATAAAATAAAAAATTCTGAGTAAAGCAGTTTTTTTCACAAAAAACCCAGCTTTCAATTTACAAACAATTTTGTGGAAAATTGTGATTCTAATATATGTGTGTGTGTGTGTTCTCTTTAATGTTGTTTATAAATACATTAAATTGCATTGTTAAAACACTGTACTTGATTACTGTATATTATGAGAGAACTGGATTGCTGTGTTAGTGCATTTCTTTAGCATTTTGAATAGTACTCGACCACTAACAAGGGAGACCATAATAAAATAGGGTGGCTTTGAGAAATGCCAAGAGGTAAGTCAGTAAATGTAAAGAGTGTACAGTATAGTATGCAGAAACTGTGAAATGTGCATTTCATTTTAGTTATGATGTATTATATATAGTATGAAACTACAATTAGATCTTGTGGATAATATAAGCTGTACAGTACATGGGCTGGTTTCCCAAGTTCATCTTTACTAACAGTCTATTTAGTATAGTGATTTTGTAGTCACTGTTACATAGGTACATGTACATATGTATGTACGTTGACATCAGAACATCAAACTACTGCATAAGCTGCACTCTCTCTCTCCCTCCTCCTCCCTCTCTCCCACCCTCAACACACACAGCAGAATAAATTTGTTTGTCCAGCCAGCAATTCAAAATAGCAGGATATAGCAGTAAAACCAAGCCCATGGTTTCAGTCCTCCCTAATCCTACTGAAGTCAACCAGAGACTTTCTACTGCCTTCAGGAAATTTTCGCCTGGCTTAGGTACCTCTATACTGGACAGCATTGTTCAGCATAGACCAAAGATTGTTTGCATTATGCTCTCAAGCACTTTTATTCAAAGAGGTGAGAGGAGCAAGTCCCAGAACCAAAGGACAAGCCCCATATACACCATAGCCATCATGCTAATTCTTTAGAGTGTTTTTCCAAATAAGAAATGGAAAATTTACTTTGTAAAATTGTTTGTGCCTAAAGATATTTCAGTAATGCAGTCATTTATCTGAGAAATATATTTTACACTGGAAATGAAACATAGCTAGAAAGGCAAGTTATTTGTAATGCTGGGAGAAGATAGATCATAACAATAGCACTAGTTGGAAAGTCTAGCTCCATTAACAAGGCAAAGGAGGCTTGTAGCAGTTTAGTCAAGCTCCTATTTACCAGAACCACTTACCTGAACAGTCTTTTGGTCCCACAAAGGTAATCAAAATGTAGCAGAAAGCCCCTTTGTACATTTCCCTTTTGGACATGGATATAACAGAAACCCCTTCTTGCCTGCAACCTCTCCTCCCCCCCCATTTTGTGCCTTTCTTATTCTTCTAAGTATTGGCAGAGACCTAGCACACTCACTGCCTGGGTGTGGCAAAGCTCAGAGCAAGCCAGAAAGCTGGAGTGGCTTTCTGTAGGAAAAACCTAGAAACTACATCTACATATCAGTCAACTCACTCACTGTCCTCTGTAGCCTTTAATCCTCACTAACTCAAATTGCATTTTTTATATATTTCTCCCAGTGCCTTTTTATATTTAATCTGTCTCATTTTTACCGTGGCATTTTGTATTTTATACTTTTAAACTCTTAAAGAATGTACTCCCTTGTAGCATGAAGTCACACCCTGGACCATTGTTAAAACTGTATTGAAACTGTAATTGTAAAATGATAAAATCTATTATATTGGGCAGTCCCTTGAGTGAATGCGAGTGAAGGATGATCATCAGTAGGCAACTAAGTGACAATAGCTTAGAGGAAGGAACTCCATTTTAAGCTAATCAAACTAAAGAACTGATTCCTGGAACTGAGCACCCACCCTATTGACTATTCCTGCAACCCTTAACAATACCATTGTTAATTAATCAAAATCACAAACTGACTCCTGAAACTGCACTACCAACAGGCAAGACCCCTGTGACTAACAGCTGTCAGGTACTACTCAAGACCCACATAGGACAGCAACCTTCGGACTCGGTAGCCAAGAGTATGCTGGGGGGGATCACACAAGTCTGCCAGAAAGGGATAAAAGGCAGTGAAGCGTGACCCTCAGTGGTGCCCTCTCATCCAGCACCTGACCTACTGAGACAGAAGGACAAGCAGGCAACCCCCTTCTGGAGATGACATCACCTTGAAGGAAGCTGACCATCAACAGCAGACTCCAGGGCCTCAGATAGGTAGATATACTGACACCAGTGCTCTCACAATCACTACTGCAGCTACTATACACTATACCACATGGGTTTGAATGACATGGATTTGAATGAGTGAGTGCAGGTGTGTGTGCTAAGGTGAACAGTACCACCCATAACTCAAAGTTTGCATTTATGATTTTATTGGTAACTTCCCATCCTAAATTCATAAACTAGAATTTATTATGATCCTGTGAGTTGGTCCTTTGTAGCCAACATTATCTATAAAACATAAAGTTAAATTTCTAGGCCCTCCCTTGCAAAGATAAACTCATAAACACAATCCAACATAAAACAATGGAGAGAGCTGACGTGAACATGGAGCCAGGCTCTGCTTTCGCAATAAAAGACTTAACGTCAAGTCAGGGTATTAATGTCCTCTTATTATATTTTCCTTTCTAATGTAATAGAAGACAAAATTGTAATGTACTGCAAAGAATAATCTTTCTTTCACTAAAACCACTTAACAGGCCTAATGAACAGCATTATTGTGGTACTCAGGAATAGATTGCATTTGGAAGAATCAAGACTGGTTTCACAGATCCAAGTAAAAATGTCTTGAGTACTTGTGTCCTGCTGGCCAGCTCTGTCAAATATTTCAGATGTCCTTGGATTGATCACTTGAGCACCAAATGTACTGTTGACTCCCTAACCATTTGCTACAGACATAGGCTCTACCTGAGAGGGCACTGCCCACTGAAGTCACACAACATAATGGGTGCCTATACACATGCAGTGAGGCTGCTCCGACGTGCTGCAATTACAGCACATCACAGCAGACTCGATTAATCGAGTCTGCTGGAGCGTGCTAGTTACTGTGCTCCAGCAGCCTCCTGAGTCATGTGTATCAGTGTCCCTGGGCTGAAAAATGGTGGTGGGGTGCTTTAACTAAAGCTCATTCAATGAACTTTAGTTAAAGCACCACCACCATTTCTCATCCCAGGGATGCTGATACACATGATGATCTGAGCACCTTAATTAGAGCTGCTCTAATTAAAGCACCCCAACTCCTGGAGCACATGTATAGATGCCCAATACTTCCTAAGTACACCTACATGAGCAATTAATGTGATGAAATAAACTCCAGCATAATTTGTGCTGGAGTCAGCTGCTCCCAGGCACAGCATTTACAGCTGTTCCTGGGATCACAGTATGTTGAGCTGGAATGCAGGAGCCCTGGGCTGGCAAGTGGTCTGGGGACTCAGCCCCAGAATCCAGTTGGCAGCATTGGGCAGCAGAGGGGTTGACTGGGGCATGAGCCAGCAGGCAGCCCCCACACTTTAGCACCCTTGTGTCCCAGCCAGCCCCTGTCATAGTCTACATGTGTGTCCAATTGCATGTGAGCACTCTGCCATAAGATGGTACTACTACGCTGGGCTGTCTGCTGGAGCAGAGCAGGGTTGGCCCCACCCCTCTCCTTCCCAGCCAGAACACTATCACTGCTCCAGCTGGCTGAGGGACTGCAGCAGCTGCCAGGCTTCCCCCTGTCCTCCTCCCACCCCCATGGCTGCTCAGCCAGGGATCCTCCCTCCCATCGCCCATGGCAGGGACCCCAGCACAGGGACCTGGCATCTGGCCATACCCAACCCCCCATGCTAGCTATTTCTGAGTGGTGTCTGTGTGGGTCTCCAATTTTACTGGAACAAAGGTCAGACAGCTAGTGGCTTGCAAATGCAAATGCACCCTGAAGATAAGAAGACCCTGAAACTAATGAGAGAGATGTTTTCTTTTGTAGGACTTGATGGGCTGATAAACTTTGTTCTGACAAGCAACCTGTTGGCTACAATCTATCAGTCTTCAAGAGGGGACAGAGAAACATGTTAGAAATGACCTGGTTTGCAGAAATTATGAAGAAGCAGGGAGAGGGAGATTGGAAAGCTCAGTATCATCAATAGATACAGGATCTAGCAACACTCCCTGCCCCTTGAGCAGTGACCAGAGAAAAGCCTGTGACTGCAGGCATAGTTGGGATTTACACCCCTCCCTAATCAGAGCATCCTGCCTGGGCCTGGCCATGCCCCCCCCCTCAGCTCAGCACTGTAGAAAGGAGGGGAGAGCTGCTCTAGCGCCCAGTTTCTAGCCTGAGCCACTGTAGGAATGTGTCTGCATTTCTAGAATTAAAAGGTAATGTCTATCA